ATTACCCTCTCCCAGCGGGTCCACTTTACTGAGAACAATTGCATCCCGCGTGCCGCTGACGCTTACAATCTCATTTTGGGCAATGACTTTCTCCAGCGACTTCCCCCCTGGACCCTTAACTACCACGAGCGATTGTTTATCATGGGAAACGAGATCATCCCCATAGTTTCATCGACCTCAGGCAAGCCCAGTACAGCCGGCACTCCGGCTAGGGCAATTCCTGTCCACGCGGCAACGACCACGATTATCCCTCCAGCATCCGAGGTCATACTGCAGTGCTGTATTCGGGACACGGACGCCACATACTCAACGCTGCTATCAGATGGCTCGGTACTGACACCCGAGGGCATCATGGTAGCGCCAGCCGTTTCGCAGAAGCATCGTCCTTTGCTATTCCTCAGCAATCCCACAGATTCCCCCAAGGTCATCTACAAGGGACAAAAGATCACGACAGCCCAACCTGTGTGCGAGCTACCCAACGGCGTCCTCACGGAATTACCACAGTGTTTTTAGCACTTCCGCTCTGAACTCACCTACCACACCAGCTTCTAATATTTCTTCATTAATTACTATAGACCTCTCCGAGGCCAACGTGTCGGACGACCAACGCTCCCAGCTTCGTCAACTTTTTCATGAATTCCAAGATAGAATCTCGACGTCGTCGTACGACTTAGGTTCATACGACCACACGCGCATCACCATCAAAACGACTACAGAGATCCCGCCGTCTCGTTATCGGCCTACACGGATACCGGCCCGCTTCCAGAAGGAATTGGACGACCACATAAACAAACTATTAGCATCGGGAAGGATCGTGGAAAGTGACACCCCATGGCTCCACAACACCGTGTTAGTTAGGAAAAAAGACGGCTCTTTGCGCGTCTGTCTGGATTTTCGCCCTCTAAACGACATCACTATCCCGGATCGCTACCCCCTCCCCCGCATAGAAGATCTCCTCACACGGGTCGCAGGTAAACGATACTATACCTCATTCGACCTAGCGTCCGGTTACATGCAGCTCCTCCTTAGCCCGGAGAGCCAAGCCAAATGCGGTTGGGCCACACACAGGGGCGTTTACCAATTCGTTTATCTCCCTTTCGGCCTACGGAACGCGGGCGCCTACTTCTGTAGAGCCATGTCCCGCATACTAGCAGGTCTCGACGACAACTGTTTGGCTTACCTGGACGATATCATCATTTTCGATAACGATTTCGAATCTCACCTGACATCACTTCGTAAAGTCCTCGAAAGATTCCGAATTTTTAACATCAAGATTTCCGGGAAGAAGCTCACCAGCGTCGCCCGCTCGACCATAACCTTCTTAGGACACGAGATATCGGGCACTTCCTATTCCCCAGCAGACCGCAATCTCAGGGCCATCCGAGACATGCCAGCACCCACGACCGTCAAAGCTGTTAAGGGATTTCTTGGAATGGCTAATTTTTTTCGCAAGTTTGTCAAAAACTTCGCGTTCATAGCAGCTCCGCTTTACGCCCTATGTAAAGATAAAGCCACCTTTCAATGGGACGAACCCCAGGCCCAAGCTTTTGCCAAGCTGAAGGAAGTGCTGGTGAGCCGCCCTTGTCTCGGATTCCCTCAGAACAAAGAATTTATTCTCCATACCGACGGCAGTAAAACTGCGGTAGGTGCCGCGCTCTTGCAAGCGCAGGACCCGGGGATGCCACCAGTAGCTATTGGCTATTTTAGCAAGTCACTCTCCCCCGCTCAGCAAAAATGGAGTCCTACGCATATTGAACTCTTCGCAATGATTAGCGCCTTACGGTTCTTCCGCGCTACCATTTACGGCAATCACACAAGAGTTCTCTGCGACCATCAGCCTCTCACCTACCTCTTACGATACAGGAAACCCCACGACAATCTTGCACGATGGGTCGTGGAATTACAGAGTTACGACATAACAATCGAGTACCAGAAAGGTTCCTCTAATGTACTAGCGGACCATCTCAGCCGCAATGCTGACCCGGACCTCAAGTTCCAGGATGGCTCACCAGAATCTGACGACATTATCGAGTTCCCCCGCTGTCTACTCCACCACGTTGAGGTTTCTTCAGGGAAATCGAGGACGCGAACGCTTACACCACCATTGTACGTCCGACCGTATGACGCTCTCTTGGCGCAGAAACAAGACCCCTTCTGCAGTACTCTCATGCACGTCTTGGACACGGGCTCATACCCACAAAATCTCCCCAAGGAGCTATTAGAAGTATGTCAGAAGTATATCGATCAGTGCATCCTTAAGAAGAATGGGTGTCTGTATTACATCAATCCCGATCCCCCACACAGATTAGCAATCATAATTCCTCAAAAATTACGGGAGCCCATTTGCATAGCTCTACACGAGAGTCCAGTAGCAGGAGGGCACTTCAGTTGGAAGAAAACTCTACGCAAGATAAGCCGGCGATTTTTCTGGCCTACCATGCGAGAAGACGTTTTCAAGTATGTTCGCTCGTGCGACGCTTGTCAGCGTAAACGCCCTCACCCGTTGGCCAGAGAAAAGCTGATCCCGGTACACGCAGGAGCAATCTTTGATAAAGTCTTCGTAGATCTTAGCGGGCCCTACCACTCTACTCCTCGGAACAACAAATACATATTGTGTCTCATAGATCACTTCAGTAAGTTCGTAATCGCCGAAGCCTTACCGGATTGTACGGCAGTCACAGTCGCGCACGCCATCATGACTCGAGCTATTTTAATCTATGGGACCATGTCCGAGATAGTCACAGACAATGCGTCGTACTTCAGGGGAGACCTCATTACGGAGTTGGGGCGACTTCTGAGGATTGGACACTACTTCACGACCCCCTATCACCACGAAGGGAACGGGGCATGCGAACGCATGTTCGAAACCTTTCAAGAGATGCTACGTACCTACATCAATGACAATCAGGATAATTGGGACTTGTTCTTACCGGCATGTACGTTTTCGTACAACACATCTATACATAGTAGTACCAACGAAACCCCCTTTTTCCTTATGTTCGGTCGGGATCCTTTGTTCAGCATTGATCTACTGATTCGACACAAGATTGAGGGCCATGTACCAGCTCTAGAGGATAGCAGCGCTTATAAAGAATCCTTAGTCTCAACCTTACACGCAGCATGGGTGGCCGCAACCAAGTATAACCAAGACCGGAGTGCGGCTATGAAAAGACGATACGACCGTAGCCAACTTCCGCCAGCCTCCATTAAGGTGGGCGATCGAGTGTACTTACGCGACTATTCCCCCAAACCAGGACTATCTCCCAAACTATGTAACCCGTGGATAGGTCAATTTCGAGTCATCGAAGTCAAGCATCCTCACCTTACCATCGTTAGCATTTCCTCGCCCCAATCCAAGCCTCGTAAGGTGCATTTGAATCAGATAAAGAAATGTTTTGAAATATCAGGGCCAGTCTTCACACACCCATGGCACCCAGAGGAAGAACTGGAAGGGCTAACCCGAGCCAACGCCTCTTTGACAGTACCGGTAATTGGTTATAACCACACCAGCTCTTCAAGTAAAGAAACAGTTCTAGCCTCAAAATTCAAACCATCTCATAATTACAATACGCGTCTCAGAGCACGCCTACAGTCGCTCTAACGCTACTTCTCATCACTCTAAAATCTCTTACCTATTCACTGTTGTTTTTTTTTCTCTTTTACGAACTCGAGGTTGTCCAGAAGTTTCGTATCGACTTTCGATTTTGTTGCTACCTGTCGTCTAGTCGCTCGGTATACTCTATCGCTGGGCCTCGCTCTCTTCGCGATCTCCGGCTGGGGCCCTTGGCCTGACATCTATTCTCACGGTAGACTTTTCAGTGAGGTTGTCCTGACGGACGACTTATTCTCTGTTTTCTCATCGCGGCTCTTACGTTAAACGCAGAAGATAAACCCTTTACAATTTCGGGCTTCTGCTCATCTGAACAATCCCTCTATGGACGTAGACATGGGTAAGCATTCATACGTAGCCTCTCTCAAGAGTAATTAGTCGCTTCACGGGTAGTTCTATTTAGATACCGATCCCTTAGACGTCTCAACATCGACGAACCCAGCACAGGATAGTGCGACAGCAGCCGAATCACTCCCATCAGCAGCACCAGTGGTCACGCAACAAACACCACTCGCTGAGGCTTCTGCCCACCCGTCCTACACCACATCAGAACCGCCCAACGAATCAACGGATCCCACTGTAGCTCTTAATCGACTCTCCCTCTATCGACAGCCACAACTACCATCTGCATCCTCAACACCGTCGACGAGTCCGGGCGACCGTCCCCGTCAAGGACCCCCACGTGCTCGGTCTCACGAAAAAGCATTCACAACATTCCGAGATCCCACTTCTTCGTCGTCACATCCCTCAACGTCTGCTAAACGCACTCGTTTAGATAACACCACGATGAGGAAACCACAAGGGATTCAACAGCATCCAGCTCACCCTCCGGAATTCGAAAACACACCTGACGACTACACTAACGAATTTGTACACCTGCACCCTTGGGCCATTCACATTATGCCACGCCCACCAGTTGCGAGTATCACCGAGGAGTCCGTCACGAGCACGCTCCCGCTCCACGTGTACCGTCAAATCCCACAGGACGGATATTTCGCGACAAGGTTCGTTAGGTCACTGTTTCCGAGGCGATTCTCCGGCATACCATCACCATCGAATCCTCTACCATTCATAGAGATCACCCGACTCACGGACATCATTGCTTTTCGCCAGCATGCTATGCAATTGACAGCAGCACTCTTAGACGATCAGTACGAGAGTGACCAAGATTCGATTCGACGTTTGCCACAGACTAAAGGAGAAACACCCACCCGCCTCGTGCCACCCAGCAGAGATGGAGTCCGCCCGGTGTTGTATCAAGTAGTTTATCGAAGCTATGGGCAAGGCGCCCTGCTCGAGGCAAAGGACTTTTTTATACCAGGACCCGACCTCCGCGAACTCCACTGTCTGCCGCTAACCCAGGACTCGGTCAACGTCCTGACAGGAACAAGAGGATTCGTCCGCGACCAACTATCAATAAAAGACTTTAT